TGCAAAGCTGCAGAAAAGTACAAAAATATGCAAGAATAGTACAATGAACATTTACATATTCTTCACCCCCTTTTACCAAACGTCAAAAATTTGCCATATTTGTTTTTTCTCTCTGAAGGTTAACTTTTTGCATTTGTGTTTCATACTAAGCTAATGTTTAAACAAACAAAAAAGCAGGGGCCAACAGGTGGTATGGAGCTCAAAGCTGCTGGATCCCACAGGGCTGACCATCTGATTTGAGTCCCAGACCTAGCATCTTCAAAAACACATCAGGTGTGTGTGTATGTGTACTTAAAATCCCGAAAGGAGAATGGAAGAGCTGGGATTGTAGTGCGACCATCCCTCCTGGGAGATGATTTCTCACTTTTTGGCTCTCTAGTTTTCTCTTTTTCTCTGGCAAGTGCTCATGCCCTATAGCAAAACTAAAAAAAATTAAGTTAAAAAAAATCAAACAAAAAAACCTAGAAAATGGCTAATCAGACATTGTGCTTCATAATACTTTCAATATAATTATGGAATAGAGTGCAAATATGAACATAACATATATGTACTCTGTTTTTTTTGTTTTGTTTTGTTTTTTGGGAGAGATTTTCACTGTAGGGCGCGTGCGCTCACCAGACAGACAGAGAGAGACATAGAGACAGAAAGCGAGAAATCCCCCCCCAGGGGGGATGGTCACGCCGCAATCCCTTCTCCTCCATTCTCCTCTCAGGATCTTGGGCACGCACGCACACGTGCCTGGCGTGAGTTTTAAGCTACCGGGTCCGGGACGTGAACCCGCGGTCGACTACATGGGAGTCCAGCGACATAGCCATTATGCTAACTGCTGGTTCCCTATGTACTCTGTTTTGATACTTTATAAAGTGTTACTGTTTCATAATAAAATGAACCCTGTGTTCATTTTTTAGCAATTTTAATTAATTTGGAGATGCAGACCCAGATGATTCCTAAAGTTCTTGGGGTTTTTTGTTTGTTTGTTTCTATTCATGATATAGAGCGTGTGTGTGCACACAAAAGAAAGAGAAGCGCCACTCCCCCAGAGGATCTGGGCGTGCCATGACCCCTTTCCCCAGGCCTCCAGCTTATTAGGATCCTGGACACATACTCTACCTCCTCTGCCCCTGTGTGTTCCAGGTCTCCCTGGCTAGGGATCCAAACCACACTCATCCATGCACCCAGCTATGCAGCAGAGGCTGGGCCTCTTACAGTTCTTAAGATATAAAAATGCCCTTTACAAAGGTATCAGTTCTGGTGATTTCTAGTAAAACTCCTGTGCATGTTTAGTTTGTTTTAAAATTAACACTGTGTATTTTACCAGGGTTGAGAAGAAAGAACGAGCCCGGTTAAAAACAGTAAAATTTAATTCTAAAACAAGAGGAGATAAAGGGGTGAGTATATGAAATGTCTTATCTCTGGAAGTTATTAATTGTGGATGATAGACTTTTTTGTAATTTTTGGTTGAGCTACATCGTTGAAATGAAAACTATGAACAGTTCTTGCCATGGCGCTTTACAACAGTAGACACTAAAGTCAGCATATACTAAATTAAAGCACCCATTTTTATGGACCTTTCTAAATTATCAAAACTGATACCTTCTTAGCAACTTTGGGTCCAGGTTATTTTTATAAATGAAATAGATTCAGCCACCTTTCAAATGTCCAATTAGAAACTTATGTTACTAGTATTAATTATGATAACTAATTAAACAATGACTCTTCTGAGGTAATAGTCCCCCAAATATTATTGATTTGTCTGGAAAATCATGATGTATTTTTCTATGTTTTTGTATGCAAAAATGCGTCATGACTTTCCCAACAACCCGATATTATTAACTAAGTCATATGTATTTACAGGTGGTTATAAGTGAATTTATGGGAATTTTCCTTTTTTTCCCCTCTTTATTCCTGATAAAATTTCTTAATAAAATCTTTATTTGGAAGGAGTAAGGAAAGTGATAAAAGAAGACGATCGAGAAACATATCAATTTTTTATATGTACCTTAGACATTTACTTATTTTTCATTTACTTTAAGTCCTGCCTGAATCTAAAAATCAAGAGATGAGAAAGCCCGGGTACCATTTTATACTATGTTTACAATTCCTAATTACCCTGAAGTCATTGCAGTGTAATAATCTAGCAATAAGTCTGAAGAAAGTGCTGAGCACATGTTGTGTTGTAATACTGTTCACAGCAGTGTTTCCGGGGGTTTTTTTGTTTTGTTTTTGTGTTTGTTTCATTCTAAAGCAAAATTTTTACAAGTATTTTTTATCATATTTGAACTTAATATGGAAAGTTTACTCTGTACATCTCTGATATCACTAAGCACTCATCCTTAAAGATTTCAGGTTTAAAATATAAGAAATATGATCTTTGGTCCAAGAAGTTAAATATCAGTCAGTTATATAATTCATTCAATTTTTTTAAAAAGTGATCAATTCCTTTGAAATTAACTTAGAATATTCAGAAAATGCAAAACTATATAATGTGATCTGAAGCAATTTTTAAAACAAATTTTTCTTGTCAGAAAAATCTCAAGGTATTGCTCACAATCTGAAATATGTACAATGCTTTTTATACTTGGTTTATGTATGTCTTTAAAAATACTTAGTGCAGTACACTGTTAATGAATTGAAAAAGAGGTTGCATGTTTTAACTTTTCTATCATACTGTAAGAAGTTAACTGAATTAACGACGTATTTGAATCTGAGTCTTGTCTGTTGACTGTAACCAACTTTATACACAGTCACTGTGTTCTGTCTAACACAGCACCAAAACTATGCATGATACTGAGTGGGGTAAAATACGCTTGCCATTGATACAGAACTGCGTTTCTTTCTGTAATGTTGTTTCCTATTCCTCCTTTTCCTCTCCTTACATGGTGATTGTGGACCTTCTATGCAGACGTAACAATATTTCAGTTTCTCATTAACATTTAAAACATTCATTTGGCTGTTTTGAAATAGTACATTTGGAAATTATATATTTAAAATATGTCATGAGCTTGTGATATTTTATCAATGCTTATATTTATCATTTTCATAGTCTAGCACTAATGATAATTAAACAGTATTTCTGATTGAAAATAGAGAGAAACTGGAGATAGCATGTCTCTTCAGTTCTGTTTTCCCTATACATTTTAGTCTTGTTTGCTTGTGCTATTTTTATTTTTACTTTTAATAAATTCTTTACCTGGAGAGTATTAAATGTAAAACAATTAATACATTCTTAACTAACAAGCATTTCTTTCTATCCTATATTATAGATATCTTTATGATATCTCATTTTGGCTAACTGCAAAGATATCAAAAATCAAAACATTTTAAACTTCATGTTTCTTTTGGTTATTTGCTGTGAAACTGACTCTGGCCACTATATATGCAGTAAGAAGTATAAATAACATTTTTTTTAAAAAACCAGTGATTCTTATGAACAATAAGATTCTGTCTTTCCCAAAAACTAAATTAAATTATTATTTTTTCTCTACTGAAACTTAAATTTTTTCTCTTTCTCCTTTCTGAAATTTGGATTCAAGCAAAGATTTTTATTTAGATAATGCTACTTGACAGTTCACAAAATAGTCCTAAACCCAGATTTTTCTACAGTACTTTTTTCTCACCAACTGAGTAATCTAACTTCTGCTTTAGCTTCTCTCATCTAGTTCCTCAGTACTTTCACAATTTAAGAGTGAAATCAAGACAGTCTACTTGGCTTATGAACTTACTAATCCTGAATTATTTATATGAAAATGGAAGATGAACCCTGAGAGTTCTTTATTTAATTCTCTTTAGTCAGAATTGGAGATAATGGCCACTTTGAACTACTGCAGCACCTTAGTCTCCTGGCATCACCTGTTTAAGGTTATGAGCATGCAGAGGCCAGGAGGTCGCACAGTGGTTAAGACACTGGACTTCCACGTAGACTCACTTTCCTTCTCTTCTGTCTCTCTCTGGTCAAATTAAATAATAATAACCATAATAATGAATAAAATAAAAATATTATGGGCATGCCAAAAGCATACTGCCTGGTACCAATATACTTCAAAACAATGATATAATATCTTATGATATGGATAAACTCAAGAAAAATCAGAACAAAATTTCTGCCCTTTATGTTGCTCCCTTCCCCCCTCCCAAAAAAAATAATAATAATTTTTTATGTCACTGGTAAGTAAGGCCATTCCTTCAAAACATAGGTGCCTATGACAGAAATTACAGAAGAAACAATTCCTTTTTGATAAGCCTCATTATTCTTTGTGCTATGTGCAATTATATCTGAATGCACAACTGGGACATTAAAGAGAAAAAAAAAATACTTGCATCCAACATCCATGCAGTCAGGGGCATCATGTCAGGTGGTCAGTTCTCTCATAGCTTCTGTATGCAGTATTAGAATCATGTTTGCCTTCGTGACTTTCACAGGCACCAAACTTTGCATTCCTTATGCAGGACATAGTGCCAATGGATTGGATGTTTTTCTACTTCATACTTTTTAAAATAGATAAGTGTGGTAGAGCTTAAACTGAAAATCAGGTAAACTCTATCCAAGCTAAATGATATATAGTGATTGAATGTATAAATAGTAATTATTATAATAAAAAACTAAAATAAAATCAAATAAATTGGCTGCAGTAGTATTCAAGTTGGCTGGAACTCAGTCTTCTGCTTTAACTTAGGCAGCATTGGTAAGTCTTTGCTAGCCTCTGTGTGCTTGATGGACTTTGTAAGTTTCTTCCTACTTTGATTCATACCTAAACATTTGTTTTTTTTTTTTCCTCTTCTCCATGTCTTGTTTGGCTTTGGTTTTAATACTCTTTATTAGCAACCTTCTCATAGTTGTCTTGGTTTACATTTTCAATAGTAGCTTTTCTGTTAGTTCATTATAACCACATACAACTATAAAAAGAATGAAGGAAAAATTGGGTCCGGCCAAACTGGATGAAGATTTCACCTAATAAAAAATAATTAAGCAGCAAAGTAACATTTAAAATAACTTTGGCTATACAACACCTAGCACTTGGAAATTTTTCTAGAAAAAAGGTGAATTGTTGCAAACAAATGCTAATTTGGATTGTAGTAGTCGTTCATCTGATTTACCCTTACCTTTTTTGTCAAGTAGCATTTATTCCTTATTTTGAGGTATAACTAAATTCCAGTCTTTCAAATTTTTAAATATCCTAGTTGTTAAGTGGTAGAAGAGTTCTACAAAACTAGAAATTCACCTTCTGTGTGACTGAGGTAAAATTCATACATGAACTGCACACTGTGGTCACAGGAGTCAGCTTCCACAGAACTGCTCGGCTGGCCTTTGTACACACAGACAGTAGACATCCCTTTGTTTTGCCCCTCCTTCTCTTCTTCAGCAGTCATTCAATGACAAGCGTAAAAAGAACCTCTTTTCCCGAAAATTCCCCTTCTACAAGAACAAGGACCAGAGTGAGCAGGAAACAAGTGATGCTGACCGTAAGTATGTGGATCCAGCGGTCAACTGAAAATAAATGTAAAGGGACCTACTGCCCTGCAGTTGGTTGTTACCATGGAGACAGTTTCAAGAGCTGCAACAGGTTACCATTTGTCTTAACCAGGGATAACCTAACAGGCATAAATTAATTTCTATGCCAGTCTTAATTTTTCTGGCACCTTTGGAATTTTTTAGTTTAAAATAAACAGTATTTTTAAATTATATGTTATGTAAATAAATAGACTTAGTCAAAGAGTTCTTAGGAGAAGCAACATTCATAATTGAAAAAATTATTTTAGAGAAAAAGCACAGATACCCGAGAAGCTGTCTATTAGTTTCTAGGTATTGCATGGCCGGTCTTTGATACTAGGTCATGTGGAATCATCCCATTTTATCTTATTTCTTCATCATGTGTAGGTAATCTGAAATTTACTTTTAAAAGACCAAAAACCGGTCTAAAATGTCCTTTTCTAATTAGTATCTGAGCTAGAACTTTCATTCTTTCCATAGCTTTCATTTAGCTACTAAATCATCTCAAAATTTCAGAAATTACAGAAATGCTCTGTAAGTCATGGGTACCTGTAATGGTCTTGGAACTGTCTCTTGCTGTAGCACCAATTTTATGCATTACTGACAACTATTTTCTTTGATTATCTTTTTATTGCTTGCTCTCTGGGGACTACTCTCTACAGGAGATCCCTGACGACATGGGATCAAAAGGCCTGAGTAAGTGATCAAAATACTCCCAAGTTATTTTTTTAACCTCCATCTACAGACCTACCTTATTCAGATACATTTTGAGATTCATGGTAGTGCCTTTCTGGCCTAAGGAGGTGTATCAGTTAGGTTGCTTTTAGACTTTTCATGTTTATAACATGCTTGCGATTTTTATTTCAATAATATATGGCTTTTGTTTTTCTTTTTGTTTTTCTTTTTTAAAGGTTTTTGCTATAGGGTGTGTGCACTTGCCACCAACAGAGAGAGACAGTGAGAGAGAAAGTAAGGAATCACCCTCTGTGCTGGAAAGCCACACCACAATCCCTCTCCATCTCCTCCTGGTATTTTGGGCATGCAAGCACACATGCCTGGCGAGTTTTCAGCTGCGCGGTCTGGGACTCAAACCATGGTCAGCCTTGTGGGAGTCCAGAACCTTATCCATCACACATTCTGCTGGCCCTAGCTGTTGTCTTTTTTATGTTCCATTTTTTTTACATGTTACTTAAAAAAGCTCTGCTCAGATTACATTTTCCTTTGAATTTTTTATGGCAATTAAAATGCTAGTTACTTTTGCTCTTTTTTTTTTTTAAATATAAGGACTTTTCTTTAACATTTTTTTACATGATACTACCTGCCCTCATTAGAACATAGAAATATGTTTTCTTAAAGTTTATATTTCCTCCTTTTTTTTTTTTTTTTTTAGGTAGAATTACTTTGATTATGTGTTAGAAAGGCATCACCATAATGTGAGAGTATGAAACAACAGCAGATCTTATTTGAAAAGAATTATAGGCATCAAGCTCAGTAGCAAGTTTATTTAGGAGGAAAACTCTGTCTCAATTAAGGAGGTTATAAGTTATAAGAAGGACTACAAGAAATATTACCCTTTTTTTTTTCCTTTAACCCCATGTTTCTGGTTTTGGGGTTTTGTTGCTCTTATTACTATTTAATTTTGTAGTTAGCATGTAGTCTTCATATATAGCTTCAGATAGCCTGAGAGATAGAAGGCATTTAATAAATATTAGAATGGGTTAATGAAGAAATAAGCCATTTTGGCAAACAAAATTTTCAATGTAGGTATTTTCAAATTGCTAAGTAATTTTAGGTGACAGTGACTCATAGAAGTAATCTTCTAGACTAGTTTTTTTCCAATTGGTTCATTTAGATTGTTTAGCATTTTGAAAACTTAGTTCTTTATAATGCATTGATCATAAAGGATATTGCCAGTATCTTTGCACTAATATCTGCAATAATAGACATTAAATTTTACAGATTTTTTTCTTGACTTAATGCTAACCTTATACTGGAATTTTCATCTAAACTATAGCTACCTTTTATTTCAACATTAATGATTTAGGTTTGCATTTGATTGAACACAGTAAGCTCTAGGTAGACAGGTTGACCATCCCAAATCCAAAAATTTAAAATCCAGGACATGCCGACTACGGTTCAAGTACTGAATTTGAAACTTTCGGGGTACAACATGACACTACAAGTAGAGAATTCTACACCTGATCTCATGTGACATGTCGCAGTCAAAATGTTTCAGTACAAAAATATATAAAATTACCTTCAGGCTATGTATATAAGATGTATATGAAACATAAGTGAACTTCATGTTTAAAATTGGGTTTTATCCCCAAGGTATCTCATTGTATATATTCTAAAATGGTATGTTGTGAAATCTTAAATAAATACATAAATAAATAAAACACTTTTAGTCCTAAGCATTTCAGATAAGGTTTACTTGATCTTTAATTATTTCTATTAGATACACTTTGCTATTTTTTGCATGTGATTTTTTAGAATTTAGTAAGGGCTACATATTTCTTATCCCTGGTAGCACTCTTTTAATCTCTTACATTTGGGAAAAGTTTTCAATGAAAACCCTTAAAACTGGAAAATATTACCGCAAAATTTTTTTTTCACTTAAATTTTGCCAGAGAAAGAGAAAAAGAGAGTTAGAAAGCAACCCACTAGGCCCAGGACTCTAACCACAGTCCACCATATGGGAATTCCAGCACCTTAACCACCATGCCACCTGCTGGCTCTAATACCGCAAATTATTAATGCTACAGAATTTGGAGATTAATAGAGGTGGTATGCATCAGCAAGTGGACTCGTGGATTATTATCGTCTGTTGAGTCAACAGAGACGTGGAAAACTCATAGAAAAAAGGATTAAATAAATTTGATTCCCACATCAATGCTGTTACGGTATATGGTAGTCACACTTTGACCTTTTATCAGTGGTTGTAACTGAGGATTAGGACTTGGCAAGAGAAACTATGGAAAATGGTAACTGATTGTCAGTGTCATTTACAAAAAGATTGTTCTCTGGATAGTGACTTAAGATCCCTTGAGTGGTAGGTTTCTATGCTTCATCACACAGGAATTAAAACAGCTTATCCACTTGGTAACTTGGTGATGAGATCAAGATTTTATTAGAAAATTTGAGGTGACAGAAATATCAGTAAGATTGTAAAACTGGGCAGGTGGAGGTTATCACATGAGCAGTTGGCGGACTACCCGTTATCATACAGTAGGGAATACTACAAGAAGGCTGAGTCCAGGACTGTCCTGATGACCCCAGTTACCTCTATCCTGCAGTTCAAAACTCAGGAAATAAATACTCTGAGCAAAATTCCGTGCAGTTGTACTACAAGAAGATCAGTGCAACTGAATATAGGTAGTCATTAAGTCTTGCTAGAGCAGGACTTAGGAAAGGCTTCCAGAGAAACAAAGACATAGAAAATAGCACCAAATATCTAGAAAAACATACATCTGCCTGAAAATTTACATAGCCTATGAAAACTAGGGTATTTAATCGAGGAGCAGTCTTTCTTTATTCTGAAAAGAGAGTCAAGGGGGGGGGAGAAAAAGAAGAGAGTCAAATAAATCATTAATTTGCCCTGTGGACAGTGTAAGAAATAGAAAAAGTGTTTTCCAAATCTAATTTTGACAAACAAAATGAGTGAAAAGTAGAATGGAAGTCTAGGAAAGTACAGCTGAGTTAATCACAATTGGATAAACCTAAAAACAGAAAAACCTTTGCAGCTTTTCTTTCTTTGAAAAAGCTGAAGGGAATGAACTGGATTAAGATTCTTCAGAAAGTTCATCAAAAATGCATATTTTGAGAAAGTTATGCATGGATTTCAAAATTTTTCTGCCTCAAAATAAACTCATACTTTAATTCCATATTTTCACAAGTGTTTTGAAGTCCCTTTATAGCAAGTACTCAGAAATCATGACATACAGTTTCAGACAAAGTTTGTTTTTTTCTGCTATATACAGACTTTCCTTTGTGTACGTGTGTGTGTTTTTTTTCCTATAGGGTGTATATGCTCACTGGAGAGAGGCAGGCTGAGGAACTAAGAAATCACCCCCTGGGGGATAGCCATCTGTAATCCCTTCTCCATTCTCCTCTCAGGACTTAGGGTACACATGTACACGTGCCCAGTGTGATTTTCAAGCCATGAGATCCAGGACTCACACCACAGACTCAACTATGTGGGATCTAGCTGCCTTAACCTCCATACCATACCTGGTTGTCCAACTTTGAGTTTTTATAATCTTTAATTTTTAGAACTCCACAAAAACTTCCTCATTGAGACTAGCAGTTGGCGTAGTGGCTATGTCGCTGGACTCCCATGTAGTCAACCATGGTTCCAGTTCCGGACCCAGTGGCTTAAACTCACACCAGGTGCATGTGCTTGCATGCCCAAGATCCCAAAAGGATAATGGAGGAGAAAGGATTGTGGCATGGCCATCTGCTCTGGGGGATGATTCCTCACTTTCTCTCTCTCTGTCTCTTTCTGGTGAGCACATGCGCCCTATGGTATAAACCTCTCCAAAACAAACAAACTTCCTCACTTAGACATAGGCTTCCCACTACTCATTATTTAGTATGCAGGAAGAACAAAGAGAAAAGATATGATACATTCTATCAGGAAGAAATGTTTTAATAGAAAAATCAAACTTGGCTAGAGAGTGCTTAAGAGAGATTTGATTCATCAAACATCATAAAATAAAAATAAAACATGAGTGTATTTGTACCATGCATGTCAGAGGGATGATACCCGTACATTATAAATTTCTAACATCAGTAAGAGTTTTCCACTTGACAAAAGATATGGCAAGAAGGCCCCAAAGATAAGCAAATGAAATAAACTTGTAAAAATGTTTAATTTCCCTAGTCATCAATAAACAGAATATATTTTATCTGTCAACTTTAGCACTTTTTTTTTTTTTAAGTTTATTTATTCTAGCATGAGAAAGGCAGCAACCTTCAACTGGGTCTTCCCTCAACCCACTACCTGCTTCAGCCAGCCTCGATCATGAGCATACCTCCTGGCATCTTCAGTGAGGTGTCTGGACGTGAACCAGAGCCTTCACAAGTGAAGTATAGACAGTAAAGATATGTAGCACCTGGACTCATTCAGTGGGGGTGGGTAAGTGGGTTAGACTACTTTGGAAACCTTACCAATTGATAGAATGGAAATAGACATTTCTATATCAGAATTTTTTATGTTAATATTATTTAGAAATAACAAGAAAAAATTAAATTCATCCTAAAATGTCTGACAGTTGGGAAGTGGTTAATGAAGTAATGGTTTATCCATAATTTGCAATGTTACATAACTAAGAAATCATATTTTTAAAAAAATGAAATGGGGCCAGCAGGTGGTGTGGTGGCTAAGGTGATAGACTCCCACATGGCTGACCATGGTTCAAGTCCCAGACCAGGCAGCTGGCCTTCTCTCTCTCTATCTCTCTGTCTCTGTCTCTGTCTCTCGGAGACTCTCATTAGTCAAATTGAAGAATAATAATAATTTAATTTAAATTTTTAAAAATAATAATAATAATAATGAAATGGAAAAATGGTCCCAGTATAAATAAAGAAAGTAAATTATAAAGCTGTATATATTGGTTTCAGGTTTGGGGCTTTTTTTTTTTTTTTTTGGAGAGGTTTTCACTATAGGGCACATGTACTCGCCAGACAGACAGAGAGAGACATAGAGACAGAAAGTGAGAAATCACCCCCCGGGGGGATGGTCACGCCGCAATCCCTTCTCCTCCGTTCTCCTCTTGGGATCTTGGGCATGCACGCACACGCGCCTGGCGTGAGTTTTAAGCCACCGGGTCCAGGACGCGTACCACGGTCGACTACGTGGGAGTCCAGCGACATAGCCATTACGCTAACTGCTGGTTCCCGTGGTTTGGGGCTATTTTGAATACCGTTTCTTTGAACATTCTTGTACATGTCTTGGTGAGCATCTATATGCCTTTCATTGGGGAAATGCTAAAGGACTTGCTCAGTCATATGCATATATATATGTTCAGCTTTAGTGTAATAGGCACTGCCAGATAGGTTTCCAAGGAGTCTAACAACTGGCCCACCCCCATTAATTGAGTCCCAGGTGCTACATATCTCTATTGTCTATACTTCACTTGTCTGTCTTGTTTTCATTTATTCATTTTGGCCATTCTGGTGGATGGTAGAATAGATAAGTAATAAACTTGAACAGCTTTTTATATGTTTCTTAGCTATCTAGATATCATCTTTGTAAAGTGCCTTGCAGATTATTTTTTCATTATCAGGATAAAAACATTTTACCTTTCTCAGATGATCTCAGGTGGTGGTGGTGGTGGTGATGACGGTGATGACAACGATGCAAGAACCATACTTAGAGTGCTAAGATTTCATGATACAAGAGCTAAGTAAGGGACCAGCAGTTGGCACAATGGCTACGTTGCTGGACTCCCATGTAGTTGACTGCGGCTCGAGTCCCGGACCCAGTGGCTTAAACTCACGCTAGGCACATGTGCATACGTGCATGCCCAAGATCCCGAGAAGAGAATGGAGAAGGGATTGTGACATGGCCATCCTCCCGGGGGAGATTTCTTGCTTTTTGTCTCTGTCTTTTTGGCAAGCGCATGCACCCTATAGCAAAAATCTAAAAAAAAAAAAGCTAAATAAAAGAATATTTTAAAGAAATTGCAAAATTTGATTGCCTTTGGCAGTCTTAAAGTTCAAAATGAGTAAAAAAGTTTTTTAAAAAGATAGAAAACAAATCATATAACTAGTGTTTTATTATATAACATGCTGGGTATATTTAATAGTAGATTAGTAAAAATAAACCCAGCATGTATTCATTTACCCTGCTTCCATAGTTATCAACTCAAATTTAACCAATTTAGGTTCTTCTTCTTCTTCTCCCCTCCCCCCCATTCCATTGCAATAGCTTTTCTTCCTTTTTATAAATTATAGATCGCAGAGTGTAATATCAATCTAATGTAAACTTAAAATTTTTATGTAGCATCTCTACTTCTGAAAATGAATTTTAAGGAAATAGGATAGACGTTAATAAACTATATAAATGAAGGTATTCGTGATTGTCAGTATTTGTGAATAATAGTTTAAAGCCAACTAAAATGTCTAAATAATAAAGCATGGGCCAGCAGGTGGTGTGATGATTAAGGCACTGGATCCACTTAGCCAACTCCGCAGATCAAGTCCCAGACCCAGTGGCTTGAAAAACATGCCAGGTACATGTGTATGCGTGGGTGCCCAAAATCCTGGGAGGAGAAGGGAATATGGCATGACCAACCCCCTAGGGATTGATTTATTTCGTCTGTCTCCAGCGAGCACATGTACCCTATGACAAAAGTCTAATAGATAAATAGTAAATCACAATTTACTAATCCAATAGAATATTATATAATAATTTTAAATTATTGTTTTAAAGTCCATGTGGAAAGAGTTTTTTTATGTAAACTTTTTAAACCACCTTTTTACATGTGTTGTCATATATTAATAGATAGTTTTTAAAGTTCTTGCTTTATTTTACATGTGCATAACCACTATTAAGAAACTTAAATGAGGCCAGCAGGTGGAGTGGTGGTTAAAGGCACTGGATTTCCACTTGGCTAACAGTGGTTTGAGTCCTGTACCTCATGACTTGCTCTCTTCCTTTCCCTTTTTCTCTCTCTCTCTCTGTCTTTCTCTGGTCAAATTAAAAAAATAATAACAAATGGATTAAATAAATAAATATTTTAACCAAAAATCTTGTATTTTTGCAGGTTAGAATAACTGAATTATTTTTCACTATGATAGCAACTCAAGAACTTTCTTTACCTTAAATTCTATCATTCTCTGTACTTTTCATTGATGCTGCTCATTTTCATGAGCCACTGTGGGTGCAATGGTATAGCAGATGTTTTGCTTTAAACTTTTGCCTTCTGAAAAACATTTCTTGGTTCTAACAGTTGGCGTAATGGCTACGTCGCCGGATTCCCATGTAGTCGACCACAATTCGAGTCCTAGACCCAGTGGTTCAAACTCACACCGGGCACGTGTGCATGCATGCCCAAGATCCCAAGAGGAGAATGGAGGAGAGGGGGTTGCGGCATAGCCATCCCGGGGGGGGGGAGGGTTTTATTAGGTTTTTGCCATAGGGTGCTTATGCTCGTTGGAGAGGGACCATGGGAAAGTGGGCACTTACCCCCTAGGGGAGATAGCCATGCCGTAATCCCTTCTCCATCCTCTTGGGATTTGGGGCACACGCACTCATCCCTGACGTGATTTTCAGCCCCGCCATACAGAATTCTAATCGTAGTCAGCCTTGTTGGAGTCCAGCACCTTAACCACCACACTGCCTGCTGGCCCCATTTTTTTTCAGTTTTTAAAAGTATTAGTTTTTAGTTTTTTTTAAAAGCTATTCAAAAGAAATACCCAGGATTATATTTACATGTATAACAGAGTACCTGCTATCTTCTGAACAATCAAGTTATAAAATGGGGTCACTTTTAAGAAGGGGAATAGCATTTTTCTGCTGAACATACTTGTTTTGATTATCTTTTTTTTATGTTTTATAAAGTAGCCATTGTCAATTTTTTTCAAAGCTGAGTTCCTAAAAATGTTAGTCTATTTGGAAATAAAGATCTACTCTCTGTAATTCACTTACATTTGACATTTTTTGAAACATCTGAATGTATGACATCTAAAATGCTTCTATCTGAATGATCTCAAAAACATAAACTTTCATTTCTCTTCAGGAACAAGCAAAGCTGGACTAAAAACAAGATTGTCTTTGTTTTTGAATTACAAAGACATCTTCTCGTTAAAGTGGGCATCTGTCTGCTCATGTCGCTTTTCTCCTGTGCCAGCCATTATTATCCCATGAACTAATGCAGTGGTTCTTACTCCGTTCTCTGTTTGGTTTGATGTCTGTATATGGGATAATCTATGATCACTGGGCCCTCTCTGTCATATTGTTCTTGCAGTTTATATTGTAAATGTTGTTCATAAACTGTGTTGTACAAAATGAGTCATTGTCCTTAATTATACAAGAGGATTTTAAAAAGTTCATGGAAAAATAGAATCAAAGCACAAATTTAGTATAGTGCAAAATAAATTTTAAATCCCTGCATAGTTTTTCATAATAGGCATTTTTAATGAACTTTTTGAAAACCCTTGTAGGTGTTTTCTCTTGCTAATTTATATTTATTTATTTGAAAATAATTTAAATTTTCAAAGAATGTTCTTTTAAAAAATGATTTGATTATGTATGGTTTGTAGTTCATCATTTATAATGTCAACCTGTTTCTTTTGGATAATTTGCTTTTGTCAGCTTTTTCAACTCACAACACTGTATTTTTTTTTTTATTGTCCTGCAATTTCAGAACATGTAACTTCTAATGCCAGCGATAGTGAAAGTAGTTACCGTAAGTGTTTTAAGTTACTTGTTCTTTTGTAATCTCAAGTAATGTATATCCTTTGGAAGTGTTTTTCTTTAATTATACATACTAAAAACTGAAAATTAAATGCTTAGTATCTTAAAATCAGAGATAGCCAAGTAAACGTTTGTACAGAGGTTGATTTCTAAAGTTGTGATAAAATATTAAAATCCTTTTTTACAAATTGTTATTTATATATAGTACATATTTACTAATTATGAAAGGTATATCTTTTTATCTAGTGCATATATCTTTTATAAGAAGTATATCAAATTAAATGTGGATTAACTTCTTTTGACATTTTAGTTATTGATCCTGTTTTTAACATGAGCACTGAGATAATTCTCCATAATACTAAATTGTAATTAGTTTTATTTCCTTTCTTATTCTGTGTCACCAGTACTACTCTGGATCAAGTTATGTTTATGGTGAACATAAGAAATGAGGAAGGAAAAACTTGAACAGTTGCTCAAAAAATACTGATTTCTTTTTTGGTGTATGATATTACAGTTTTTAGTGTTATTAAATGAACTGTACAAGCATGTGAAGGTTTTTTTATAACAGATTTGGGCTTGGGAGGAGGGAAGAGTACATGCATATGACAGTTGTAGCACCTTAAAAATTAAAATTGCTTTTCTAATTTTTTTTTACTGCTGTCTAATATGAAAGTAATCTTGATTACAGATGAGTATGGCTACTCAAAAGGTCCATTCTGTTAATACAGTCTCTAATATTTTTTCATGTTGACAATATATACTTTTAACCCTCATTCATTTGGATTTTTTCTACATAGTAGTCACTTAATGATTTTTTGAAAGAGGTGTGGAAATGTAATTTCTTGTATTTCACCATTATATTAACTTATAACCAGAACCCACTATAGAGTAGTTGAATGGCTTTCTAGACTAAAAAGAGGTAATGAAAGTATATACTGTCTCTCATCATTGCATGAATTATTAAGATGTGGAATATTCAAATTGCATGTTTTTGCTAGTATGTAAACCATGTTTTACATTTAATACTTTTTGTAAAAGCTTGTAAAATACCTGTTTTGTTTATTATGAACAACTGAACACAAAAAAAAATAGACTTTTAAAGCCAGAAAGATTATTCCACGAGATAGCGTTTTAAAAGACATGTACTTCATACATAATATACAAACCACTGACAAAACTAGTGATAAAGTTGTTGTAGAAGCTTGCTAATCAGGAAGGCAGTCTTCAAATGCATCATTCTGTACCGACAGCTGCCATTGAGCCATTTGGATTAACAGCCTTTTCTAGTTGTCTCTGTGTGTGTGTGTGTGTGTGTGTGTGTGTGTACATATAAGAACTAGAATTTTTACCTCCTTTTAGTTATTTTCAGTGGGTGCAGATATGATTTATAGACTTTCTTTATTTAGAATATTTCCTGAGCACTAAATCTAACTCCTAGAGGCTGTAACTTTTTGTTTTTTAAGAACAAAACAAAATATATCTACCACCTTTACATCACTGTGATTCATTTTGTTGTAAAGGATTTGGTTTTACCTAAAGCTTTAAATACAATTGTTTTAAATAATTATTTTATTTAGCTTTATTTATTTATTTAAATTTGGCCAGAAAGGGACAGACAGAGAGAGAGAGAGATCGAGAGGGAAAGTGAGAAAGCAAGCCACCGGGTCTGGGACTCAAACTGCAGTCGGCCATGTGGCAGTACAGAGCCCTTAACCACCACACCACCTGCCAGCCCCAGAGTATAATTTTTAAAAATGTTAAATTGATGATGGGCCAGCAAGTGGTGTGGAGAGTAAGGTGCTGGATTCCCACATGGCCAACTACAGTTTGAGTCCTAGACCAACAGCTTGAAAATCTGGGCATACATGTAGACATGCCCAAAATCCCAGGACCAGAATAGAGGAGAAGGGATTGCAGAGTGGCCATCCCCCTGGGGATGATTTCACTTTCCCTCTCTCTCTCTCTCTCCCTGGTGAGCACACACGCCCTGTGACAAAGACCTAAATAGAAAAAAAAAAAAGTGGTCGAGTTAGAATAATCAGTAGTTTTTTTCATCGGTAAAATAATGATAGTACTTTTACCTTTGCATTTATAATTTTTAGTTATAAAATACTTGTAATTATTTTTTAATTAAATAAACTATTAAATATCATACTTGGCAGGACAAAAAAACATAAAAGAAGCATAGTAAGCATATACATAGAAGTGTTCATTAAAATATTTATCTTTAAAATATTTAATAGTTCTTAGATTTTAAGTGAAAAATTAATTGCACATATTCCCAACATTACAACTGAATGTTTTAAATGCATTTAATAATAATCTATAAGCAGAGTAACAATAGCTATTCAGTAAGTAGAACATTTATATTTTGTTTTACATTTTTCAAACTTATTTATGACTTCATAATTTGCTACCTTCTAAGCTAAATCTTGCTGTAAATGTGAAGTACCTTTTTCTGCATCTTTGCTGTTTTCACAGGACAGTCCTAGTAGTTTTTATTGTATATATGAAGAATTAGATTAACACTAGTTTTCTATAAATTTTCTCATTTGTTGTTTAACTTTCTAATAGGTGGTCAAGAAGAGTATGTCTTATCTTATGAACCAGTGAATCAACAAGAAGGTTTGTGAAGCTTGTCAGTGTTTTACAGTCTTCGACAAAAATGTACTTCTTAATTTGGAAAAGAGATCTAACTCATATCTCCAAAATATTACATTAGAACTTTCCCTTTTTTTTTTTTAACTCTATGTATATAGGAACTTATATGCATTTTACAAAACATGGTTTAGCCCACAGTATTTTAGAATCTCATCATTTTATATTGGCTATTTTATATTGGTGCTTTCTCTCATAAGAATTTCTTTTCAGTATTTATAATAGCATCGCTGTCTTTGCGATAACTCTTTCTTAAAATCTCTAAAGCATTGTTGACATTTCTGTGTTCCTTATCCAGTCAGGTTCTAGACGTTATTTTTCTGTGTTTGTAGTAGCTTTCTTCGTATGACCTCCTTTCCATCCCTCCTGTGTCAGTCCTCATTCTCATTGCCAGCCTCCCTTCATTCAGCATGATCCCGTAAGCCGGCGTGTGCCCTTCTGTTAGGTCATCGTTTCAGATCACTGCTGTTAGATCATTTCCGACACCAGACTTCTTTTTTTCCCTTCTTCACTCTGCTTCCTTACAGTTATTTCTTCAGAAATCATTAGTGAAACACTACTTTGTTTTCTCATTTGTAATGAGATAATGTCGGCAGTGTATACCAACATTATCTGGTAAAATGATAAACTTGGTGGAATTACCAAATTCTAGCAAGAGATTGAGTCAAGTTTTAAGATCTTAGTAAAGGTTTATAAAACAGCAAATTAGGCCTCTCGGGCTGATAGTAGGAATGAGATGGGTTGGAGAAAGAAAATAGAAATTCTTTAGAACAGTTAAAGACATTTTCGTTCCTGGTCAAAAAAATGCATTGATGTTTGTTAGGTGTTTATTCCTTTTAATATGTAGGTTTTCTTTACAGTTAATTATACTCGACCGGTGATCATATTGGGACCTATGAAAGACAGGATAAATGATGACTTGATCTCAGAATTTCCTGACAAATTTGGATCCTGTGTTCCTCGTGAGTAACACAAACAGTCTTAATTATTATTCCTTACATATCTTGACACTGTGTATAGTAAAAGTAAACATAACCAATTTTTTGTAAATCTTTAATATTTTATTATTCAATTTGACCAGAGAAAGAGGAGAGTAAAAAAGCAATCTTCCAGGTCCAGGATTGAAACTGGGGCGACCAGCAGAACCATTTTTTAATGATTTATACTTAATAATTTTACAGTTGCTTATCCATATCCCATATTACTGTCCTTTTTCCAATTTAATCTCTGTTGTGTTGAGCTTTAAAAAACAATGATTTAGGGACCAGCAGTTAGCGTAATGGCTACGTTGCTGGACTTCCACGTAGTTGACCACGGTTCACATCCCGGACCTGGTGGCTTGAAACTCACGCCGGGCACATGTGCGTGCGTGCCCAAGACCCCGAGAGGAGAATGGAGGAGAAGGGATTGCGGCGTGGCCATCCCCCCTGGGGGGTGATTTCTCGCTTTCTGTCTCTCTGTCTGTCTCTGTCTATCTGGCGAGCACACGTGCCCTATAGCAAAAAAAAAAAAAAACAATGATTTAGGAACCAGAAGTTAGAGTAATGGCTATGTTGTTGTACTCCCATGTAGTAGACCGCAGTTCAAGTCCCAGACCCAGTGGCTTAAACTCACGCCGGGCGCATGTGCATGTGTGCCCAAGATCCTGAGAGGAGATTGGAGAAGAAGGGATTGCAGCATGGTCATGCCCCCTGGGGGTGATTCGTCACTTTCTGTCTCTTCTGGCAAGCACACACGCCCTATAAGAAGAACCTCTAAAAAAAAAAAAAAAATCAGGGACCAACAAGTGGCGTGGTGGTTAAGGCACTGGACACTCCCTCATGGCTGGTCATGGTTCGTGTCCCAAACCTGGTGACTTGCTTTCTCACTTCCCCTGCCCCCTCTCTCTGTGTCTCTCTCTAGTCAAATTAAAATGAATGGATGGATAAATAAAATTAAATTAAATAACTCTTTAAAAAAATGACTTAAGTAGAAAATGGATTTACAATATTTTAAAATATTAAACATTTCCCGAACTTCTTTTCTTTTAAAGATACAACTAGACCAAAACGAGATTATGAGGTAGATGGAAGAGATTATCATTTTGTTACTTCAAGAGAGCAGATGGAAAAAGATATTCAAGAACATAAATTCATTGAAGCTGGGCAATATAACAACCATCTGTATGGAACAAGTGTTCAGTCTGTGCGAGAAGTGGCAGAAAAGGTAAGCACCACAGGAATTTCAGAATAGAGTTTCTAATAGAAAACATCCCTTGACAAGATGAAAGGATAGTTGGATAGAAACTTTAACTTGTTGGGGTTATTTTTGGTTTTTTGTTTGTTTGTTTGTTTGTTTTGAGAGGTTTTCCCTATAGGGCACGTGCGCTCACCAGAAAGACAGAGAGAGACAGAGACAGAAAGCAAGAAATCACCCCCCAGGGGGGATGGCCACGCTGTAATCCCTTCTCCTCCATTCTCCTCTTGGGATCTTGAGCACGCACGCACACGCGCCCGGCGTGAGTTTAAGCCGCCGGGTCCAGGACTTGAACCACAGTCGACTACATGGGAGTCCAGCGACATAGCCATTACGCTAACTGCTGGTCCCAACTTGCTGTTTTTGAAAAAATATAGAATAGATGATGTGGTATTGATGACTTTTATTAATGCTATGAATCTATTTAATTAATTTTATGTGCGTTAGAAGAATACATATAAGAGAAAATAAAGAACCTAGATAAAATAATAATAGAGATGATAACATGACTTTCTCTAAGAGAGATTTTTATTTTAATTCTGGTTATTTGCTAGAGATAGACATTATGTTTGTCCCTAGCCTTTCTGCATATAATGTATTAAGGAGCTAAGATCAATCATGTTTATCAATAAAAATGAATGAGATATTCAAGATAAATGCAATTGCTGCACCTGGTACTGAAACTAGATACAGATTTCTCCTCCGAATTTTCTATTTTAGAAAGACAGTGAAAAAATACTCAGAAATGCTGTAACAGCAACAGATTTTCTAAAATCATCCATCAGAGTAATCTGATGATAAATTGACTTGAGGATAAAACGGTTTTATGTTGATGCCAGAACAGTGTACTTCTGGGCACACTGCTGTGCTTAATCACTCTTTGGGCCTAGAAAATAAAGATTAAATTATTTTATACCTGGACCAGCAGTTAGCGTAATGGCCATGTCACTGGACTCCCAGGTAGTCTACCGCGGTTCGCGTCCTGGACCCAGTGGCTTAAAACTCACACCGGGTGCGTGTGTGTGCATGCCCAAGATCCTGAGAGGAGATTGGAGGAGAAGTGATTGCGGCGTGGCCATCCCCCCTGGGGAGCGATTTCTCACTTTCTATCTCTCTGTCTCTCTCTGGCTAGCGCACGCACCCTATGGCAAAAACCTCTCCAAAAAATATATATATATATTTTATTTTATACCTTCAAAACTAATAATTCAGAACTCAACATGAGGTCTGGCAGTGGTATGATGGTTAAGGGTGCTGGACTCTCATGTGGCCAACTGTGTGTGGTTTGAGTCCCAGACCTGGCGGCTCACTTCCTTGCATTCCCTCTCTCTCTGCTCCCCCCTTTCTCTCACTCTGTTCCTTTCTGGTCAAATTAAAAGAAAATAAATAAATAATAAAGTTAAATAAAAATAATTCTTTAAAAAAAAAGACATGAAATATCTACAAACATAAAGCGGTAATTCAGCATGTCAGCTTTACACATTGTAATGCTACTTTTTCTGTGAAAAGTTTGTTTAATTCTGATTAGTATGAGACTTTGTAAAAAAAAAAATAAGAGTACCATAAATAAAAACAAGGATTGAGGGAAGTAGAAAATTGTACATATTGTTTAGTGGAATTTTTTTTTTTTAAGAGAAATTTTTGCTGTAGGGTGCCTGCACTTACAGGAGAGACAGATGCAAAGTGAGAAATCGCCCATCCCAGGGAGGACGGGTACCACACCACAACTCTTTCTCTTCCATTCTCCCCCCAGGATTTTGGGAATACACGCATAGGCACTCTGCGGGTCCAGTACTCGAACTGCAGTCAGATGTGTTGGAGTTCAGAGATGTAACCCTTATGCCTTCTGCTGGTCCCATGTTTAATGGAATTTCTTTAGAAAACAGTCACAAAGCTTAAAACTTTAAACCTTCTAGAAGAACACACAAGAAGTCATCATAACTTAAGAGTTAAATATTTTTAATAAGGTATACCAAAGGCACAATCTATCCATTACAAAAATAAATAAATTGAATTTATCACTATTTAAATGTATTACCTAAAAAAAATAAAGCCTGTTAAGGTGCCAGTAAGTGATGTGATGGTTAAGGTGCTGGACTCCCACTGGACCAGCTGCAGTTCAAGTCCTGGACCCGATGGTTGAAAACCTTTCCAAACATATGTGTGTGCGTACCCACAATCCCAAGAGGAAAATGAAAGAGAAGGAATTGTGGCATGGACATCGCCCCTTGGGAGAAGAGATTTATCAGTCTCCCCTCTCTGACTCTCTCCAGCAAGTACACATGCCACCTGGTGGGTGCACATGCCCTATAGCAAGAAATCTCTCCAAAAAAATTGACAAAGGATTTGAGTAGACATTTCTCCAGAGAAAATACACAAATGGCCAATAAGTACATGAAAATTAGTACTAGGAAATGCAAATTGAAGCTAGGAAATTAGTTACTAGGAAAATGCAAATTGAAACTATAATGAGGTAACCCTACACATGCATTGGAATGACTAAACTTTACAAATCTTCCTATGACAAGTTTGACAAAAATATGGAGCAACTGAAACTCTCATGCTTTGTTACTGGGAATATAAAATGGTACAGTCACTTTGAAAAACAGCTTAAAGATGAACCTAACATATCCACTTTTCAGAATTTACCCAAGGGGGAAAGCATACGTCCATATAGAGACTTGTATGGCAGCTCTATTTGTAATAGACAAAAACCGGAAGCAAGCCAAATGTCCCTCAGTCATTGAAAGGATAAAGTATGATGGAATATAAAGAGTGAACTCTTTACATCAGCAGTTATAAACATGCAATACTGACATGCACAGCAACATGTTTCATCCGAAACATTTTTTCCAAGTGGAAGGGGCTAGACAACAAAGAAGTACATACTGCAGAATTGTATTTACATAAAGTTCTGGAAATTTCAGACGACTCTGTACTAAGAGAAAGACTAGTGGTTTGGGAAGGGCTACCTGGTAAGGATTACAAAGAGGCATGAGGTAATAAAATTAAATTTAAGGGAACCAACAGGTGGCATAGTGGTTAAGGTACTGGACACTCCCATATGGCCAGCCATGGTTCAAGTCCTGACTCTGGTGGCTTGCGTTCTCGCTTCCCCTCTCCCTCTCTGGTCAAATTAGAATAAATGAGTAAATAAAGTTAAATATTCTTAAAAATTTTTAATTTAAATATTTTTAAAAGGCATAAGGAAGCTTTAATTATCACTCTTTCTGGTGCTTTGAGGAAATTTTTTATATCCTTTCTGATCCCAGCTGCTGTAGCATAGTATTCCTAAAAGCCTAGAAATGACATGCCAATTATAGGTTCAGATCCCCAGGATGCTCACATAAACGTGCAAGGTCCTGAGGTGCTAGAGGGCTAGAGAGAGGGGATCCTGGCGTGATAAGACCCTGTTAATGGTGCTCTCTCTGTCACTTGCACATGTGTACATGTGCTCAGTATCATATAAAAAACATTTCACTACTGCTGTATACTTTTATAACAGTTGTTTATAAAAGAAATTAGTAAGATGGTAAATAGAAAAACAGATTTAAAAAAAAAAAAACAGCAGACAAACCACTAACCAACCTGATCTTTTTTTTAAAGGAAAAAAAATCACAAATAATTGAAACAGGAAATAACAAGAAGGAAGTAATCATTGAAACATTATAGCATTATAAAATCATAAAACACTACTTTGCACATTTTTTAAGGTTTCTGCCATGGGATATGTGTACTCGCCAGAGAGAGACAGAAAGGGAGAGTGAGAAATCCCCTTTCAAGAAGGATGGCCATGCCACAGTCCTTTCTCCTTCATTCTTTTTTCCGAATTTTGGGCACGCGCACTCACGCACTCATACACACACACACAGTGTGATTTTTAAGGCACTGGCTCTGGGCCTCTTGGACTCCAATCATTGTCAGCCGTGTGGGAGTCCAGCACCTTAACCACCAAGCTACCTGCTGGCCCCTACTTGCACATCTTTATATAAATAAATGTGAAAACTTGGATGAGGCGGATAATATCTTCAGAAAATACAGTTCACCAAACTTGACCTGTTGAGTAATCACCTTTAGGAGAAATATATCGGGGCTGGCAGGTGGTATGGTAGTTAAGGCACTGGACTCCCACATGGTTGACTGCCATTTGAGCCCTGGACCTGGCAGCTTGCTTTCTCACTTTCCCTTTTTTCTCTCTATGTCTCTCTCTAGTCAAATTTAAAAATAATAAGAAATAAAATGAAAAAGAAAAAGAACGAATATATCAAGTTATCAAGGAACTACCCCATGAAAGAAACACCAGGCCTAGATGCCTTCACAGGGGTATTCTACAAAATCTTTAAGAGTTATATAGTTCTGAAGTTCCGAAACCAGTTCAAGAATATTGAACATAAAGGAAAACATTCTCATTTGTTTCATGAAACAAATATAATATTGTTCTCTCTACCTGAGGAAGACAGAAAGAAAATGAGGGACCAATATCACAAATATCAGTGTAGAAATACTAAATATTTTAGTAAACATAACCCAGTACCATATTGAAAAATCATATTCATGACCAAATGGGATTAAAGGGTTTCAAGGTCAGTTTACTATCAGGGAATCTATTAATGTAATCTACCACATTAAAAAAGCTAATGAGAAAAATCATATATCCACAGGTGCTGAAAAGCCTTTGGCAGAATTCAGTATCTTTCCTTTAGAAAAAACTCAGAAAAAATAATTTTTTAAGAGCATTTGGGGTACCAGCAGTTGGCGTAATGGCTATGTCGCTCGACTCCCATCTAGTCGACCGAGGTTCAAGTGCTGGACCCGGTGGCTTAAGCTCATGCCAGGTGCATGTGCCTGCTTGCCCAAAATCCCAAGAGGAGAATGGAGAAGGGATTACGGCGTGGCCATCTCTGTCTCTCTCTGTCTTTCTGGCGAGCGCACGCATGCTGTAGCAAAAACCTCTCCCCAAAAGAAGAGGATCTGGGAGATGAATATTATTGTTAACAATATTAATATAATAGTATTTTAATAATGTTGATATTATTTTTAGTATCTTACTAATACAAATACTATTTTTTTAGAGAGAGATTTTTGCTATGAGATGCATGCTCTCAGTGGAGAGACAAACAAGAGAGACAGAAAGCAAGAAATTTCCCTTCAGGGATAGTGGCCACACTGGAATCCCTTCACCTGCATTCTCCTCTCAGGATTCTGGGCACATATGTGTGCACCCACACTCAGCATGAGTTTTAAGCCACCAGATCCAGGACTCGAGCCACAGTCGACTACGTGGGAATCCAGTGATATAACCATCATGCCATCTGCTGATTCAACAGATATTATTTTTAAAGGGATTGCACAGAGAGAGATTGAGATGGGCAGCTAGATGACTACATAGATATCCTTAATTTTAAGTCCTTAATGGGAGAGACACTTGAAGCAATTACATTATGATAAGGAATAAGATAATGAGGCCCAGTATCTCCACTACCATTCAGTACACTGTAGTTGAGTCTGTGCCATCAGGGAAATAAAGTAGAGGCATAGCATTAAAAAACAGGGCCAGTAGGTGGCATAATGGTTAAGGCACTAGACTCCCTCCTAGTCAACCATGAATGCTGGACCCAGTGGCTTGAAACTCACACCAGGCACATGTGCATACGTGCCAAAAATCCTGAGAGGTGACTAAAGAAGGGATTGCAGCATGGCCATCCCTCCCATGGGGTGATTTCTCACTTTCTCTCTGTCTCACTAGCAAGCACACACACCCTATAACAAAAATAAAATTAAAAAAATAAGTAAAATTATCTCTATTTTCAGGTAATATAGTACTAGAAAATAGTACATAATCAATTATAAAATGTATTTTGTAAAATCATAAAGCCATTATAAAATTAAAGACTTACAAAGTCAAAGGCTGGGTATGGAAGCAGTTATTAAAATTAAAATGCAGGGGGGACCAGCAGTTAGCGTAATAGCTATGTCACTGGACTCCCAAGTAGTTGACTGTGGTTCACATCCCTGACCCGGTGGCTTAAAACTCACACCGGGCGCATGTGCGTGTGTGCCCAGGATCCCAGGAGAAAAATGTAGGAGAAGGGATTGCAGCGTGGCCATCCCCCCGGGGGGTGATTTCTCCTTTCTGTCTCTCTGTCTGTCTCTCTCTCTCTGTCTGGCGAGTGCACACGCCCTATAAGCGAAAACCTCTCAAAAAAATAAAAATTAAAATGCGGGAATTATTAGCCTTACATACATGAACAATAGTCAGTTAGGAGATATGATTAAGAACATCCCACGTATAAGAAAAAAAGATATAAAGTAGTAAGAAATATGCAGACTTGTATGAAGAAACCTATAAAACACTCCTGAAAGACACAGTATTAGACTTGAATAATGGGAAATATAGCCCTTGTTCTTGGCTAAGATAGCTCAATAAAGCTGTCACTTCTAACAAAGTTAATTTGTATTTAAACACAATCACAATAAATGTTATCTGCCAGGCTTTCTTCTGGCACTAGACAAATCAAACTTCATATGAAAAGGAACAACACAAAAAGAAAAGCTACAAAGGATTCTATCTCTACCATAAAGAACTTTTAATTAAAACTGTAATAGTGACACATGACTAGACAAACATAATGAAAAGACATCCCAAGAAAGACCTAAATACACTATATCATAAAGTTATCATCCTATTAAAGAAATATCAGTTTGGCGCTGGACTCCTACATGGCCAACCACAGTTTGAGTCCCATACCTGACAGCTTGCTTTCTTGCTTTCTCTCTTTCCCCACCACTCCATCTCTCTCTGCCTCCCTCTCCTCCTTTCTGATGAGTACCTGTGCCCTGTGGCAAATTTTAAAATAACAGTAATAAATAAAATAATTATTTTTTAAAGAGAAATTAAAACTACACTAAAACTCCCATTTTTCACCATAGTGGGAGGCAAAATATGGGGCTGAAGGGGATATGCACTTGCGTTTTGGAGCAGAATATGGCAGTATCTAGCAAAACTACATAGGCAGCCCAAATGTGGTGGTGCATGCACATGGGGTTGCCCCTGCATGAGGTTGGGGTCACATAGGGGGCCTGGGGTCCATTCACAGACAGCCTGAATGGGCTGGGCACAGTGACAGATGCCTGTAGTCCTAGCTGACTAAGAGGCAAGGACAAAGGATCTGTGACAGGGCCCTGTAAAGGTCCATCCCCATCCCCCCATTTCTCTCTCTCTTTCTCAATGAAAAAGGAGGGAGGAACCTACACAAGCATTTATCCTTTGACCCAGTATTCCACTTCAAGGAATTTATCCCTAAGATACACCCAACAGTATGAAAATACATGTGCAACAATGTATATAGACATGTATTTATTTGCTCTATTCACTAAGAAAGCCTAAAACAGCACCCTAGTAAGCAATAAGAATATCTAGTGCCACATGTTGCCTTCAGAATATCATTTCCCATTAAAAAGATTCAGGATTCTGGAGACATGGCAGATTCTAGGGCTAGGAATCTGGCTGTGCCATAAGAAAATGAATGCCCAAAGAATTATGAAGAGGTGTCAGAAAGACACAGACGTCAACCTGTGGTGCCCCCTTCTGGCAGAGTCTGGGATAATTTGAATATCAAAATAAATAATGATAACTTAAGTACAATGTATAGAGTAAAATGAGAATCCAAGACTCCATAATGATGCAAATAAATACATCCCAAAAAAATGAATACGGGAACAGCAGTTGGTGTAATGGCTATGTTACTGGACTCCCATGTCAACTGCAGTTCGAGCCCTGGTGGATTAAACTCAAACCAGGTGCGTGTACGTGCGTGCCCAAGATTCCAAGAGGAGAATGGAAGAGAAGGGATTGTGGTGTGGTCATCCCCCCTGGGGGGTGACTTCTCACTTTCTGTCTGTCTCTGTCTTTCTGGCAAGCGTACGCACCCTATAACAAAAACCTCTCAAAAAAAAAAAAATTAATAAAAGAAAAAACTTGACCTTACATTAAAACGTCTGCTGATTGGATCGGCAGATGGCATAATGGTTACATTGCTGGACTTCCATGCAGTCGACCACAGTTTGAGTCCCAGATCCAGTAGTTTAAAACTCACACGGCGGGGGGCGGGCGCGGAGGGTGAGGATGGGGACAGCCTGGCAGGTGGCGAGGTGGTTAAGGGCGCTGGATTCCCACGTAGCCTACTGCAGTTTGAGTCCTGGACCTGGCGGATTGCTTTCCCTTTCTCTCTTTCTCTCTCTCTCTCTCTCTCTCTCTCTCTCTCTCTCTCTCTCTGGTCTAAATAAAAAATAATAATAACAAATGGAATTAAATAAATAAATCATTATTTTAAAAAAAAACTCACACTCGGTGCATGTGCATGCATGCCCAAAATCAGGAGTAGAGAATGGAGGAGAAGGGATTGTGGCATGGACATCCTCCCTCGGGGGTTACTTTTCACTTTCTGTCTGTCTCTCCGGCAAACACACATGCCATATAGCAAAAATTTCTATTTTTAATTTTTTAAAAAGTTACCAATCAAGGTGAAAAAAGTAATGATATTTGAAAATCTCTTTAGTAATTGTTTCAGGCAAGAATCATCAATATATGCTAAAATCAATGAGTGAAAATTTGATGTGAAACCAGATATTTGCCTAATCTCAAAGCATCCTCCCTGGAAATATTTACCAATTATAAAGACTAAAATAATGAATGCTTAGCAGAGAAATATGGCAGATAAAAAAAAAACATAAGGGATCAAAATTAATATCACTAATAATGAGTCAAAAGATGTCATATACCTCCTGATCTGATGATCTGAGAAGGGCACGTCATATCTGTGGTGTTCCTACCACAAATATTTAATTTGCTATCTGATCCTGAGGTAATGGATTGAAATATAGTCTATCAAATAAATCTGTTATCTTCAAAATACCAGGATCAAGATCGGCAAAGATGAGAAGGCCAGCCGCTAATAAGGACTATGCATAGAAAGCCAGACTTAAAAAGAAAGCCAGATTCAGGGCCAGCAGGTGGCGTGGTGGTTAAGGCGATGGACTCTCACATGGTCAACCTGGCAGCTTACTTTCTCACTTTCTCTTTTTTTTTTTTTAATTTACATTTTATTTCATTTTCTTTTATACAGTCAATCACATTATTTAGCTTATGAAGTGAGTATTTCAACATGTGAACATTTCTCTCTAGTTGATAAACTGTAAAATAGCTTCAACAGATAATACCACATTTCTTTGTCCCATTTCTCTCTCTCTCTCCTTTTCTTATCCTCTGTTGATCATTATTCTCTTGTCAAATGTTAGTGATGGGAAAATGGTAGTTTTGTTTTGCTTTGTTTTGTTTTTAATGCCATTTCTTGGCAAAAATTAAAGATTGGAACCCTATATTGGTCATCTTGAAAGATGACTATCTATGAAATGTAGCAGTAATGGGAAGTGAATTTTCATTTCTTTTTAAATGTAATATTTGTTTCAGAGTGGCAAGTTATTATTGTCTTTATTTTCTCTCTAAAATTTGCTAACAGAAATGACAGATATGCTTAAAGTGAGTAAAGATCTGCACATGCCATAATCTAGACCTTTCGTCTGTGGTAAGTTTACCTTTGATAAAACTGAAAGATTCGGTTCACTGGTTTTTCTTTATTCCCTCTATTTTAGGGTAAACACTGTATCCTTGATGTGTCTGGAAATGCTATAAAGAGATTACAGATTGCACAGCTTCACCCAGTCTCCATTTTTATTAAACCCAAATCTATGGAAAATATCATGTAAGTGTACATGCCTGAGACAGAGGCTCTTGGTGTAAATCAGATCACTGTTGGTTAATTTATTTACTCCCTGCATCTCAGTTTATCTATAAAAGGGGTGTGTGTGTATGTGTGAATAGAGTAAATAAATACTTGTGTGTGTGTATATATTTATATAAATAGTGTGTGTACTCTCCTCCTCAGGTGTGGTTAAGATTAAATGAGCGCTGTGTGAAGTTACCGTCACCATCATCAGTATCACTAAAGCATAAGGTGACATGTATTAGAACACGCACCCTAAATTGCCATGTGTGACTAGTGGCTCCTGAATTGGCTGCACAGCTCTGAGGGAGCCACTCAGAGACTAAAAGTGTATGTAACTCTTGTAATCTAAATAGAAGAGGAGACGAAAGAACAAGTAGAAACAGGACAGATGAGGCAAAGTATGCGGACAGTGAGATGGTACAAATACTCCGATTAAAGACAAGGATTATAGGCCAGCAGGTGGTGTGGAGGTTAAGGCACTGGACCTGGTGGCCAGATAAGCACACCAGATACATGTGTACCTGTGCCCAAAATCACAAAAGGAAAATGGGTGAGAAGGGAATGTAGCATGACTATCCCTCCTCGGGGCTGATTTCTCACTCTCCCTCTCTGTCTCTAGCAAGTGTATGTGCCTTATGGCAAAAACCTAAAAAAAAAAAAAAAAGAAAAAGAAAAAAGTTAAAAATTATGTTGCTTTTGTAAGATATAATTTAAATATTAGGCTGTGCAAAGGTTGAAAGTAAGAGAACAGAAAAAGACATACCGGGGGCCAGCGGGTCTTAGAGCGATAAGACACAATGGTCTGTGAGGCTGACCCACATGAAAGGCCCCAGGTTCACATCCAGAGGCCTCCCTGAATATGCCAGACACGTAGTTACCATGGTTCAAGGCTGACTGAGTCTGGAGGTGGATCACAGTGTCAAAACCCTGTTGGGGATGCTGTCTTTCTCTCCCTCTCCCTCTCCCTCTGTGTATGTGTGTGTGTCTCCCCACCTCATGCATATACTCATGGAAAAATATAAATTTTGCCTACTAAAAGGTTCTAGAGATAATTTAAGAAAGAAAGAAAGAAAGAAAGAAAGAAAGAAAGAAAGAAAGAAAGAAAGAAAAGAGAAAAAGAGGGTGGAAAGATACATATATAGGAGGCCCAGCCACAGTAGCACCGGCGGTAGAGTGCCACTGTGCCATACTGGAGCTGAGCCATGCGGGAAGGCTATAGGTTCAGATCCTCACATGCCAGTTTCTAGCCTTAGTGGCTAGAAAGCTAGAGGGAAGATCACAGCATGGGTATACCCTGTTAGATTTCCTGTCTCTGTCTTAGCTCTTTCAAAAATAAACTTCTTTTAAAAGATGAAGCATTAACCAAATGTAGGCTGATACTATATTACTTGTCAACGTATACTTTAAGACAAGTATTACTAGCAATAGAGAGTGATATTCATAAATATAAAAGATTGGGAACCAGCAATTAGTGTAATGGCTATGTCGCTGGACTCCCACATAGTCGACCACGGTTCCCGTCCTGGACCCGGTGGCTTAAAACTCACGCCGGGCGCGTGTGCGTGCGTGCCCAAGATCCCGAGAGGAGAATGGAGGAGGAGGGATTGCGGCATGACCATCCCCCCTGGGGGGTGATTTCTCACTTTCTGTCTCTGTGTCTCTGTCTGTCTGGCAAGCACACACGCCCTATAGCAAAAAACCTCTCCCCCCCCCAAAAAAAAAAAATATATATATATATATGTAAATAAAAGATTCACTCCACCAGGAAGATACATTTACACATTTGTTTGTTCTTAGTAGCACAATTTCACTATGAGACACTAATTGTTAGCTATATAGGGAAAACATACCATTCCAAAGTCATCATCGAAGAATGTAGCATCTCTCTCAAGAAGGAATCAATAAGAAAACAAACAGAAAATAGATAAAGATTAAACAGCATAAATTTAAAAAGTTTACATAACCAATGTATATTAAAAATTCCGTTCAGCATCTGCAAAATACACATTGATTTCAAGTGCACATGAAGCAATTACCAAATGATCATATGCTGGACTACAGATTTCAAGTAATTAAAAACAAATATTCTCGGGCCAGTTCTATGGCCTAGTGGTTAAGGCAGCCAGATCCCACATAGCCAACCCCAGGTTCAAGACCTGGACTTGGAGACTAGAGAAACATGGCAGGCACTTGTGCAGGTATGGCCAAAATATCCTGACAGGATGGAGAAAAGTAGAAAAAGGGATTGTGGCTTGACCACTCCCCATGGGAGTGCAATGTTTGATCCCTCTTTCTGTCTCCTTGTATCTGGCTGGCAAGTGCATGCATTTTCTGGCAAATTATTTTTTTAAAACCAGATATTCTCTGATGACAATGAAATTAAACTGAAAATCAATAAGAAAAAGATAGCTAAATCCTCACATATTAATTATACATCTGAGTAACCTGAACAGGAATCACATAATAAATTAATAAATGTTTTAAAGTAAATAGTAATGAAACCGACAAGTAAATAAATTTGGGGGATGTCATAGCCTTATTGAAGAAACATACATATCCTTAAATATTAAGAAAGAAAAATGAAAATAAAATATTAGAAAAGAAATGTTGAAAAAATGTAAGATCTTGAAAAATATTAGCCAGTTAAATTCGAAGAAAATAAAAGAATAGAAGTTAATGAAAAGGAAAACAAACAGAGAGGACCAGTAATGTTTTCTTTGAAAGTACCATAGACCAGTAAGATGGATCAAGAAAAGAAAGTAAGTCATATCAATATCAGGAATGAAGTAGAGATTATCACTATTCATCTAGTAGACAATAAACAGGTTGACAGAAGCAACTCTATAGGAAAGTAGGCAAAGGACTTGGACACACCACAGAAGAGGACCTCCAGGGCCAGCCGACGGCAAAATGGTTAAGGTGCCTGGACCCCACGTGACCAACTGCGTGGTTTGCATCTCAGACCTGGTGGCTTAAAAAACATGCCAGGCACACATGCCTAAAATCCTGAGAGGAGAATGGAGGACAAGGTATTGTGATGTGGCCATCCCTCCTAAGGGGTGATTTCTCACTCCCCCTCCCCCTTTCTGACTCTCTCCAACACAGGTGCATGTGCCCTGTAGCAAAACTTTAAAAAAAAAAAAAAAAAGGATTTCCAAATAGTCCATCATCATATGAGATAGTACTCTACCATAGAAACGTAAGCTAAAATCACAGTGTCGTGTTCTACCACTCCCACACCAGAATAGCTGAAAAGAAAATCCCAAATATTGGCAAGGGTATGGAACCCCCTAAACTCAAGCAATGTTAGGACTGTAAATTGGTACACACACGTCAGGAAACTCCTAAAGCTAGGCAAACATGAGACTTAAGACCCAGAAATCTCATTTCTAGATGCATAGTCAACAGAAATGCTTACATGTGTTAACCAAAGACATGTACTAGATAGCCCACTGAAGTACTATTCAGAATAGCCCAAATGAGAAACTACCCAAATGCCCATCAGCAGAATACATAAATTGTAACGTTCATAGGGAAACATTCTACAGTAATGAGAAGAAGCAGTCTCTAACTACATACAAAAATTATGGAAGAATCTCACAAACATAAAGTAAAAAAAAATCACAGACCTAAAAGTATGTACGAGGTGACTTCAAAAAGTTGATGGAGACAGGACCAGCAGTTGGCATAATGGCTGTGTCACTGGATTCCCATGTAGTTGGCCACGGTTTGAGCCCCAGACCCAGTGGCTTACACTCACGCCGGGCACGTGTATGTGCGTGCCCAAGATCCCGAGAGGAGAATGGTGGGGAAGGGATTGCGGCATGGCCATTCCCCTTGGGGGGTGATTTCTCGCTTTCTGTCTCTCTCTGTCTTTCTGGCGAGCGTACATGCCCTGTAGCATAAACCTCTCCAGAAAAAAAAAAAATGGAAAAATAGAAATAAAATAGTTTAATTTTGTCTAAAAATTTTTTGAAATCTGTACATAGTGTTTAGTAATACACATTTTCTATGAACTTTTAAGACCCTTCATATACTTTATAATTCCAAAAGTAATCATTGCTTATAGAAGTCAGAGGTTACTCTTTAAGGATGAGTTGGTGACTGGAGTGAGCACACCCAGATTCTGAATGTTCTATATCTTTTTTTTTTTTTTTTTTGGAGAGGGGTTTGCCC